TGTCAGGGAAGAAGAAGAGATGGGAAGGAGAATATGCTAATTAAAAAAAACAAAAACAAAAAAATAGAAACAAGAAAGGACTTTCTTGTAAATGGAAGATGAATTGATGAAGTTAAGACTTAGGAAGATGACAAAGTCAGGACTCAGGAAGATGATGAAGTCAAAAGACAATGGAATTACAAAGAAAATTAGGGGAAGAGGTAATCAGTAGGCACAGAGCTTCCTGTTTCTGTCCTAATTGGAGTCAAAATCCAATTTAAACCCTTAATGCTTCTATACTATTTGTCATTTTAAAAAAGTGATCGCTTCAACATCAAAGCGCTTTTATCACTTCACTTCGCTTCAGTCGCTTTGGGACCGCTTCTTTTAAGCAGAGCACTTCAGAGATTTTGAAGCGGTGGTGCCTCTGATCGCTTCACTTCATCGCTTTAAGCGGTGAAGCGATCGCTTTTGACAACACTGAATCACTTTGACCTAGGAACTTAAAAAATGCAAAAAATATATATCTGCAGTAATATGCATTATAGATTATACAGTTTCCCAAATATTTATTATCTAACAATTGCATGATCTACGAGTACAAAAACAGACAAAGACACATTATGTAGCTGCAAAAGTTATCCTCGTAAAACTGGGTCCAAAAGCCTGCTGGTGACAAGGAGGTATAATAGCCAGGTCAAAAGCTGAAGCACTTGAAACCCCAAACACTAACTTTTTGAAGCCCTTAGAAAGAAGATAAAAGGCTATGATCAAGTAGTAGAAGATAAAAAATGTACCTGTCATAAACACTCAAAAATGCTCCACAAATATCACAAACATGTAGCTTTTGATCAGTCTGAAACAAAATTGGATCAAAAAGATTAGAACAGATAGAATATTAACATATAAATGAACTAAAAGAAAATTAAACTAAAATCAAATTATGATGGGACTGTTCATGCATTAATTATGCAAATCAAATTCATATTTTCCCAATAAGGTCCAAGTGTGTCTTAGTTTTCTTATCTAGTTATTATCATAGTTTTCCTTTTGTGAAACTGAAAGAAAGAAAAACAGAACTCACAATGCGAACATCAACAGCAGTATACTTTGGGGAATCCAGAACAGGGTCCCATTTAGCAGAGAGCTGAACATATATGGAAAAACAATTATCCATAAATAAGGCATACCAAGGAGAAGGAAATGGTGCAAGTTAATAAAAATCAATCTACAGAAATAACACTACTAAATTCACAAATTGAAACCTTCCTGAGTGCTTCAGTCTCTTCTAATGCCTTTTGTGCCTCATCTACCATCCCCTTCTCACCTAAACAACAATAAGAGAGCAAGAAAGACCATCAATAAAACATTGCTAAGTACATCATGTATTCTTGAAAACTTTGTACAACACAGTTCGATGCCTTTCTGTATATTTTAAATGAAACCACCCTAAAGCACTGAGTGTTAATTGAAAAAACAGTAAAGCACTGAGTCTTTATCAATCATTGACAATTGTTTTGGAATGGCAGGGGAAACAAATTTTCTAACATTAAAACTTTTTTATAGGAAAAAGGGTAAAAGCACAAACAGGAAGGAACATAAATTGGCATAATAAATACCTCAGAAACAACTTAAGGCTATTCCATTTCTAGAAATTTAATTATTTAAGACATGCTACCTAAAAGATATCTATAGTCAAGAACTCAAGATGTTTATGTTATTTAACACATGCTCCTTAATAGATATCCATTGTCAAGAACTCAAGATGTTTTTCTCCTTGCTTTACATACATAAAAAACAAAGTTCAGGTAACCTGAGTCTTACCAAGATCCTCAGTTTTCTTCAGCTTTTCATTTATCATTTCCTGGGTCCGAGGATCAGGTGCAGGCACAGGCAGTGGCGCCAAAGATGGAGGGTTTGGCAATGGTTGGGGCAAAGATGCCTGATCTTTATTGAATGCATCCAAAAGCAGTGTTGACTATAACAATAAACAGAAGCATCATATATATCAAGAGACTAAATGTCATACAAGAATCAAATTATGAGGAACTTAATACACAGTCAATATCAAAAATTCTGATATGAATAAATCAATACTTTCAGAGACCCAAGTCAAATCCTACATCTAAAGAAGGTAAGAAGTACCTGTTTATCCGCTCTTTTAGTTTTAAGCTCTTCTACTTCTTCTAGAGCTTGTATTTTAAGATCTGCCTTGCCTTCAAGATCTGCAAATCAAAAAGATATCATCTACACCCCAAAGCTAATCATAAAATTTGCACAATTTATCCACAGTAAATATTAAGACAAAGGACAAAGAAAAAATTATGCAACATAATTGTTGTATGTACAGAATTTAGCCCTTTAAACAAAAAACTTGTAAAAAATCAAACACAATATGGCTTACTGGGGAGTCATCAAGTCAAGCAATATAATATTACAGATTTGATATAATCATTGAAACCAATCATATATTAAACTACCAAACCAATCATATGTTAAACTCCCTAACAAGAGAAATTTCTCAAGAATTCTCAAAAACTCATTTACAAAGGCCGCAACAAAAGTGAGAGTGTTCTACATCATTACTTTGTCATGCTAATCTACCATTTAAAGGCATAACAAAGGATGTGAACAGTTGACCATTCTTTGGTATCATTGGCAAGGTCCCCTAGAATATATGAGGAGACATAGCCTTTGGCTGAATTCAACCATATTGATTTAATCTTAACCATCCAAACATATCAACCAGACAAATGGATATTCTGAGGCAGTCTCCTCAATCTAAAAATACTGATTGAATCATTTAATTATTCTTTTTTATAACAAATTAAACACCTTAGAGTTGAAATAATGGGGAAAGCAGTCAAACTTCAACTATGGTCATCCCCCTATACCATATAAACAAAATCTTAAAATTTATGAAATCTATTGAACCTACAAACAAAAACTTCACAACAATTGTTATAAATTTGGACATCACCTTGAATCAATTAACTCAAAGAAGAATAACCAAGTTAAATCAAAGAAAACAAATCAAGTACTCATCATCAATTGGCAAGGCAGAAACTGCATCTTTGTTCCAATTCAAGAGTCACACCTCGTACATATAAACCTCAATAGAAAATAATAGTAGCCCGCCCAACCCCCACCCCCTCCTTTTATACATAACCTTTGAAAGGCAATTTGAAAACAAGGAATTCAAGCATAAAAGTGAAATAAAATCTCAAACTCAACATCAAAAGTAGATAGATTTCAACAAAAATCAAATCATAAAAACTTAAGTAATAACAACACACGAAGCCAGATGCTTCCAATGTTACCTTAACTTTCAAAAAAAAAAAAAAAAAGATGAATAAATAAAAATTTTCTCAAAAGAAAAAATCTTAGGTGATAACTTAGAGACAACCCTGAAAAAAATAAAAGACAAGCTAATGCAAAAATATGATACCATATTGATCAGCTTCTTTCAATTTCTCCTCAATCTGCTTTGAAAGCTCTAGTACTTTTGGTATCTGTAACATCAACATAGAAAATAAATAAATCTGTAAGTCCCAAGTGGGAGAAAGGTCAGACAGATAAAATTAAGACCTATCCAAAACCTGAGTAACTTCAGAGACTGATATAGCAATAGCGACCTTTGCATCCTCATCTTCAAGACGCTTGAGAGCTCTACCAATTTTCCTATCACACTCAACAATGAGCCTGTCAATAGCATCTTCCAACTCTTTGTCATAATTATCAATGCCTTTTGCCTTAGCTTCTTCATATCTAAGAAGGGCTAAGCAACCATAGATGCAGAAATACAAAAACTACTAAAAATGCATAGCATAGGCATATCATCAATGAAGACATTACTTTTGAAAAACAAACATAAAGTACCTACTACTAAAAAAGCACCTATCCAGCATTGTGAGTAATATAAGGATACTCTCCTCAGCTGCAAGAGTGGACCTTTGGACATGGCCCCATATCCTTTTTCTGGACAAGAGAAAACACAAGATTGAAATAAAAAATCCTAAAGACTTAGTAACTTAAAAAGAAAACAAGACGAAACAAGAAGTTTGAAATCAGAAATCCCAAAGTCTCAATAACTTGCAGAGAAAACTATAAACAAGTATCTGCAACTCAAATGTGACCAAAAGCTAAAGTTGAACATATAAGAGTTTACCACATAAGAACAATGACACCTATGAACACTACAAGAGCATATAGTATCTACCTAAGAAACTCACCAAAATACCTTCCTCAACACATAAAATGATACATTTCATATCAATTGACAATAAAAAATAGGATTGTAAATTAGACACTAACTAAATTTATAAAGAAACATGGATCCCAACCAAAAATGCCTAGTTTATTTGTCTTCTATCTTACATACCCATGATAAATAGAGAACTTAATGCCTAGCATGATTTTCTTTATGACACTTCACAGGTAACCAGAATAAGCAATTGAAAGTAAACAAAAACAGCATCCCTATCATTTAAATTTATATCTCTTCCAAATATACCCATGATAAAATAGAAAATGTATATCCATGACCCTTGTTCTAATTTATACAGATAATAGGTTACCAAACTAACCCAAAAATAGCTAATAATAACATACATCAACTATTCATGCACAACTACCACTACTTTTCTCTTGTTCCTTATATCTCATTAAAAACCATTTTCAAAATGCTTCCAGCAGCAGTCTTCATAAATACATGTAATTCAAGCTTACCACAAATTCAGCGACTTTTCTCTCTCCCTGTATCTCAGAATCCCATTTTTCACAATAAAACAAATGACACAACTTTCAATTCATCTCCTCTTAATAAAGAGTTTGGGCAAAACAAAAACCAGATGATGTGTTGCTCCCACACTCACCCCAACTCAACCAATCTCTCTTTCTAAACTTCTCCTGCTTCTAAAGCACCAAATTTTTCAGAAACCAAACACAGATAAGCAATTCGAATTCATAAACTAGGGTTCAAAAGGAAAGAGATGAGTATGAATCATTTAACAATTAACGAAACATAAAGAAAAGATTAAAAA